AGAGCAATATTACAGTAGATAATGGAAATATGTGAATTGTTTTTTACAGTATATGGTGTGAACACACAAAAGACACGTATTTATAATAGGTATGTAAATCTCTCTCTTTCTAAGTAAAGAGTTAAACTGCACACTCACTCAAATACGTTAAAACTCATTAAAAACTTTCCCCATATGGTTTGAATGTTGATTCTGGTTTGAGTTGTTTCTTATAAAGGAGATGATCTAATTATCTAATTTATATCTTAATATACATGTTTTTCTTAAAATAGCTTACTGATCTGGACTCAAATGTAGGGTATGTGCACTTAATGTGGGTTTTATCATACTCTGTCTTTACTAACTTCTCTTTAACTGTCTTTACCAATGTTACGGTTGGGTGTAGGCAAGAAGCACGAGGAGACTAGGATTTCCAAAGACAGACACTTTTACTAATAAATCAAAACAACAAACAGATACTGGCAGGCAGAAGGGCAAAGTATACACACTGGTAACATAGACAATAACCGACCAGGAGTGAGGGAGAACACAGGGTTTACATACACAGAGAACAGATTGGGGAAACAAGGCACAGCTGGGGCAAATGAACTAGACACAGGTGAAGGAACTGAACGGAAACGAGGAGCGGGAAAACTAACACAAAACTAAACCAAATACACAATGAACGGGGGAAAACTCAGGACACACATGTAACAACCAACTTCTCTTTAACTTGGATCTCATAAAGCTCTGTGTTTGCTTTAGCTACTTAAGGAAATTAAGGAAACACAGACACACACACACACACACAGGGACAAGATGAAATTCACCATGGATGTCCTTTTTAACTTCTTTTAATGTTTCATTTTTTAAATGTTTCATCAGTGAGCGGGAGCAGTTAAAGAAAAAAAAGAAGAGTGGCAAACCATAGGGGAGTCATCATAATTCATAAATGGTTAATATTTAATATATAAATATTTTTTTGTGAACAACAATATTGTCTATTTCTTCTAAATGGCCCATGGAATTTTAGAAAAGGGATAAATTGTGTTTGTCTTCATAAAATGCTGTGTAGGACACTGTTTTGTAGCTGTATGATGACCAATAGCAGCAGATATTTCCTCGAGGATCCATATTATTACACAGTACTGCATGTCTAATGGGCTAAATATGGTTAATATCTAAATGTGACTTTATATAAATTCACAAAAACATATTTCACTCAGTCTATAACTGCAGTAGGTCATAGCATCACTTGTCATAACACATAGTTGATCCAACTAACGTTATGTGTATTTTAAATTTTTCAATTCACAAAAACAAATAGTCTTCTGTAGGCTGAGTGAAGAGAGTGAAGCCCAACTGAATATCTATAGATAATTTAATCCGTGCAGATCTACACTGTAGCCTTTATATTTAAATTAACAAAAAATACAAAATTGTCAGACGGGTTATTAACGTGTAAGGGTCGATTTAATGATGTTATTTCGCAGTATATCCCTCTACTGGACGCATCAGGAACAACAGGGACTTAAAACTGCCACTTTCTGTCGGTCACTCACTCCCTTCTCAATTTCATTGGCTGAGAGTGTAAAACAGAACTAGGGCGGAGCAGAGCCATATAGAGTGAGAGTTGCGACAACTCCATTGGCCCTGTCCCAAATGGCACACTTCATGTGCACTTTCGGTCTTGTGGACTTAATGGCTGCCGCGTGCGCGTGTCCGTTAAGTCCGTGAGACCGTAGTGTGTCCCATTTGTCATTTTTAGATCTCAGAAGGGTGCTCGCGAGCGCCCCCTCTGCGGTCGATTTGCGCCCTTGATGCGCACTTTTGCCGAGCCCGCGCTGATGCGGACTCCACAGCAGACTTCTTCCCGACATTCAAAGCGGCGTTACGTCGCGAAAGTGCGGACTCAGAGGAAGACCGCGAGTGCTTAGGGTTCCATTTGGGACAGGGCAATGGACTCCAACTCCATCTACGCGAATCACCAAGCATTTAGAACTTCCGTTGTCGCAACTGGCTCTGGGGCGGAGCGGTGAAGGCCTTCAGATCAGCCAATAAGGGAGAGGATTTCACGCAGTGAGTGACTACAGATCTCAGGCATAACAGTTCTGCCTCACGTTACGGTGATAGTTTTGATGGTTGTTTTACACTCTCAGCTGTGTGCGTTTTGATGAAGTCTGGCTGAACAGAGACTCATGCAGAACTATTACCATGTAAGTTTTCATATTTTTAAATATAATGCCAGCTTGTGAGTTTTTATGTTCTTATACCAATAGTTTTGTCTGTTTGTGGGAAACTAAACCTAGTGATGTTAATGCTGAAATTATCCAGCAATCAGTGGCGGCCTTAAGCATCTGGGGGCCCGTTTCAATAACTAATATGGGGCCCTACCCACATAAAACATAAACATAATAGAGCAGAAAAAGCTAGGATTCCTGTTGGTTTCCATCAATGGTATATTATTTTATTACGTGCACTTTCAGCTTCATGAACAGGCAGCTGAACATAGAAATAATCCAACCTTATTTGATTAAAACTATACAATTATACAGCGTTTTACGTTGGAATAAGCCTCGCCCTTTCACGCAGGGTAACTTCACTTTTGGTAGACTGAATGAAGCTTTTCTTTTGTTGTCTGATATCTTTCGTTTTTTAGCACCACTGGCATATGTACGTTTCATTTCCTCTTAAAATTATTTTTCTGCTCAAAATAACATTTTAACCTAACGGCAAAAAGGCAAAGGTGTAAATACATAAACTACCGATATTATACTTCAGATCGCTAAAGCCCTTCGCGGGAGTGGTAAACGTCGCCATGGTAACCGCGAGTTCGACCAATCAGAGACGTCAGTGTTTTGCAAATAACAAGGTTGATTTCGTAGCTTGTGGCTTTTAAAGGAGCAGAAACTTTCATTTCACAACCTCGTAGCTCGTGGTCAATCTACCTTGAATGGTTTAGACATTATGGCTGAAAATCAATATCCTACGGAGAAAATGAATGGGATTTTGCTGGTCTGTTAAGGCCCCCTTGGAGGGCGGGGCCCGTTTCAATTGAAACGGGTGAAACATAGGTAAGGCCGCCCCTGCCAGCAATGATATGATTATGTTTTATAGTGGGGTTATTAATATAATTGTAAAATGTTTTAGTAATATTACTCCGATTGGTTGGTAGCAGGAAAAATTACTTTTAACACCTGTTGCTTGTGTATTTATTTGAAATATAATTTTATAAAACCAAAGTTTTTATTCAGCTCATCCATCGCTCTTTTTGTCTTTCTCTTGTTTGTTCATGTTATTTCGGTCAAATGTGTTGTGTATTTCTTAGCAGACAGTTCACTCTGTCGTTGAGAGAAGCACTGTTGTAAGGTCAATAACATCCACACGGGGAGACTGTGAGCAGCTTTTCTTCTCCTCTAACTCCATACTGCCCACTCGCACCAGATCAGACCGTCTATGCTCACTTACGCCGCCTTCACACTGGCAGTTGAAATCAGCTCCGTAGTACGCAATACGCCCCCAACGGACGTCGTACTACACAGTGAAAAGCGTCGGAAGCGGGTAGAACAAAAATGGCGGAGAGATTAGATAGTTTGATTCTGTCAGTTCTGTATGATCTCTCTGATGAGGGTTATAGAGATATTAATAGGAAGGCTGCTGCGTGAGGAAAGTTGCTCAGGACGTTGACATGTCAGGTCGGCTAAAAATGTGATATAGTGGTATAATTTATACCACTATATCATATTTAGTTCGATGTCTGCCTACAATTTAATTGTATTAACTGCCCTAATAACGTTAGCAAATCATGAAAATAAAAAATTACATGACAACTTAACTTTTAATAAAATAAATAATGATTTTACAACGATAAGAATTCAGGTTTGTTTATCAGTATCATAGCAACGCTAACTTCCGCTGAAATTGTCGGATAGGAACCGTCCGTAGCTTTTCGCAAGAGTTCAATTTTTTGAACGCATCCGGATGACCAACGGACACGATTTCCTTCGCACCGCACTCGGTCGGACCCGTTTCGGACCCATTCGCATGCGGTCTGCGAATCTCCATAGGAAATGAATGACTTCCGGTCGTTTCGGAGCCGTATCGGAGATGATTTCAACTGCCAGTGTGAAGGCGGTGTTAGTCTCGCGTAGCTGACGGCTGAAGGTTGGCTTTTAGCCAACGTTCCGTGGGCGTGACGTCTGAGGCTGAGACTAATGCTCACTTAACGCTGGAGGAGACGCCCAGCTGACATTTAGCCTACTTTTCTCATCCCGACACTACGTGAGTATGGTTCCAGAGCTTGACATTTAAACTAATGTTAACAAATACAACTTTTGATTTTAATAATGTTTTAGTAAATGCTGAAATTAATATGAACTAAGATTAATAAATGCTGTAGAAGTGCAGTTTATTATTAGTTCATGTTAACAAGTTTAACTAATGGAACCTAGATTCAGAAAATGATTCAGTGTTTCGAATCTCCACTCGCTGGACTCCTGGTGGCCGAACAGTGTAAATGCAGCAAACTCAGACCAAACATGCAGAAAAACACCTTTTACAGACACATAACAAAGTAAAATATCAAATTCCATTAATTTATCATCTAATAAGATTAAATATCAAATGTCTGTATAATATGTGTTCTTTTATCATTGTTCAGAGATTGTTTTGTTTGTTCCATGGCTCAGATAATCAGGCCAATAATAGGCTATTAACTACTATTATTCCTTTTAATTATACTAATGTCTAATTATAACGTCTACAGATGAATAAAACTGATCAGAGATCAGGTAAAAACCACAGACACGTGTATGTTTCACCACTGAGGACGAATTCAGTGAATCTGCATGATACACACTCTCTCTCTCTCAGACACACACACACGGCCATTGTGCTTTCTATGATGGCAGAAACGAAGATAAAAAAGATTATAGTTTGATATTTTTTAATCATGTAAGATCCATATGTGGATGAAAATATTTAAATAAACTGAAAGTGAGTGTATAATGTAGTGTGTGTCTGTCACATAACACACCTTCTGTTTTCTCATCAGGATGATTCTTCTTCTTCTTCTGCTGTGCTTTATCAGTTATAGCGGTCAGTGTCATTTATGATTTTGACTATGACTAGTTCAATCTACTACCGTAGTTATTCTAGTTTATTGTTTTTCTTATGTAGCTCATCTCTAGGTTTATACTCTCATCAACATATGAAACGTGTAATGAGCCACTTCTAATATTTTTGGCTACTTGTTGCCTTCATTTATTTATTTCAATCCAGTTTACTAAAATAACTCTACTAGAATATTTAAGATCATATTGATTACAGAAAATAGCCAGAACATTTATTTCTCAGTATTGCTAGTGTGTATTGAGTGAATATTGCTGTGTGTGTGTGCAGGATCCTCCACTAAACCTGTGTCAGGAATAAAGGGAGGAATCGTCACTCTATCCTGTGGATCTGAGGACAGAGAGATTGTGGAGATCAGTTTATTCAGTGTGTGGAAACACATCCCTGTGTGTGAGGAGAGAAACTGCAGCGGTCGAGTGTGTAAAGAAGGATCATGTGACGTCATCATCAACGATCTGAGACTCAGTGACGCTGGGAAATACTTTTTACATGTTTATTACAATAATGATCAGAGAGAGCTGGAGCGACAGATCAGGGAATATCATCTTCATATTCACGGTAAAGTCAAAACTGATCAAACATCATCATGTGTTTTCTTTATTTCCTGTAATAGTGTTGGTATTGTGTGCAGGACTAGAAACAGCAGAAACACTGAATGGACAAACTTAATATTCAGAGTCGATTGGGTTTCTCCAATGTTTTCCTCTGATCCCCCAATATTAAATATGTGATTATGGCCTTGATTAAATGACACTATTATAGTTGTGATTGAGGATGAATGTGTGTGTGTCCTCAGATGAGATCTCAGTGAAGAAAGGAGAGGATCTGAAGTTGGATGTTGTGTTGATCAACGCTGATAAAGTGGAGAGAAACTCTCGCTCCGGCTGGACAGAGGTGTGGAGGAGAGGTCACGGGGTCAGAGGTCACGGGGTCAGCAGTGATCGACTGACCGTCAGTGACCAGACTCTGATCATTCATGAGTTTACAGTCACTGACACTGGAACATACAGAGCTCTGGACTCTAATAATGAAGCCTTGATCACAGTCACAGTCACAGGTGAGAGAAGATCAGTGGAGGAGCAGAAATATTATGTTTAATCAGTAAATTAATACTAAACTGCATGAATAACCTTTCAATATTCTGGACAGAATCTGTTCTAGACTCGAAGGGAAATCTGAACGACACTGAACATCGACGTGAGTAAAACATGAGAGAATTACAGAAGATCTTAAACAGTGAATTTAAAATTTAGAAATTTTACTTTTCCACTTTTTCTTCACCTGTAGATTACTGGATTTTGCTGGTTGACCTTACTGTGTTTCTGCTGGTTCTGCTGGTTCTGATTACTGTCGTGAGATACAGACGTCGGCACAGAGATTACTTGAAGCGGGAAAGCACTGAGTTCAGGGATCAGAAGTTTTGAGGATCTGTGGATCATGATGATCTAGTGCTAGTTCTCCAGTTCAGTAGACAGTTTTAAGAGCTTGGCTTCAGTCAACACAACATCACCATGGGATTTATTCGTGCCCAGTAGAGGTGTGCCATGCCTGGGATGCACTTTTCAGAAAAATCAGCCTGTGTTTTCCTGGTGGTTTCATGTGATGGCGATGGTGGTGATGGTGGTGATGGTGCAGTGGATAAGACACATGCCTTTGGTGTGAGAGACCCGGGTTCGAATTCAAATTTTATTAAACTTTTATAAAGCAGCAAATAAAGTGTCTGATAGAAGTAGGCAAAAGCGGCTGCAATATACGCTCGAAGGCTTTATTCACGACATACAGGGGAAACGCAAGGAACAACAAGGCATCCAAATAGAGGCAAAAGCAGACCAGTCACAGTCAACAAATGACCCACCGCATATCCTACTAATGGAGACGGAGCTGGGACTCACAATATCAAGGAGCAACACTGTTCATGCAAAGCTGGAGGTCTCTATTCACTTCTATAATCGTTATTACAAAGCAAACGGACTACGCGAGTATAACGTTGTATTATTAGCAGCGTGTGCTAGACGACACTTGTCAGGATTTGACTTCGGTTTGGGAAGGGGAAAAAACGCCCACCCCCCTCCAACCTCTCTGGGAAACGCGTATCTGTGTTACAAATGCCCCAGGCACAGCGTTTAACCATATTTTTGATAAAACTACGACGGCAATAGCCGGCCGAGACCAAAAATATGAGACGCCTGTGTTAAAGTCAATGGAGCGCTGTGAAAAGTGTCGGACCTCTGTGGGAGCTCGTTCTTGGCTGCGCTGTGATTGGTCAATCTACATTCTAGGGTGTGGCTTAGCCAAAGGCAAATTGTCAGTACCTCTATGGTCAGTACGTATGAACATTTGTGCTGCAGTTCTTCCTCAGGAATCTGTTACTGTATCTGTGTTTAGTATTAATGTAAAGCAGCCTTAAAAATATAATACATGATCTAGGAATTATTGTGTCTATTTTAATCCGTAAACTGATGAACTGAGAATGAGTTGAGAACTGATGATTGTGAATATGTATCTGTGTCAAACAGTGTAAGACAAACAGTGTTTGTGTGAGCATGTACATATGTATATATATTTATATAGTGCTTTTGTCCGTTTGTTTTTTTGGTCTGGTCGTCTGCACTGTTCTTTGTTAATCTGCAAGTAGCCTGTGTTGTAAAAACACAAAATTAAACCACTCTTTTAAGAAACATTTTTGGTGGTATGTATTTTAGTATGAATACTATTATACTATGTTCAGAATTATTTTTATTTTTTTTGTATATATAATGAAACATAAAGAGGATGTTCATGTGACACCAGAGACAAAGGACTGCAGAGCGTCATGGAGACGAACGAATCCCAGAGGACAAACAGGATCTGAAACCAATCAGAATCTGAGAACAAGAAACAGATCATAAAAGTACACAAACATAATCGTAACAGTTTCAATGACTGTTATTATGGGTTATTATGCTGGACTTGTGATGTGTAATTCCCTCAGTGGACAGTAGAGGGAAACACTGCTGATCGGAGACTAAACAAACCACTTGTGTAAGACACATTTCTGTTAGTATTGTGTAGTTAATATTTATTTTTGCACGAAGTAATATTGTTCATAATTATTTGTAATATTATGATGAAATAAAGAGGATGTTTAAAAGGTTTACGTTTCCTGTTAACTTACAAACTCAAGCCTCTCTGTGAAGCTCAGATTCAGAACACTGTGAATTCGATGTTTCTGAACATTAAATGTGTCTTACATGTTCATTTAACCGGAAAGCTGTTGAACGAGAAAAGAAATGAATTTCTTATTTGCATTCAAACGTTGTGCTCTCCAGCGCCTCGCTTTTTCAAATGCGCGTTGCATCTACGGTAGCCGTTATGTACCAAAAAGCTTTGACAGGATGTCTTCTAATAGCACTTAGTCAAGGTTTCTAGATTACAAAAAGTAAACTTGCAAACCTTGTTTTGAGCGCCTTCTCTACTTTACTCAATAGCTGCTATTCATCAAAGAGCCCGTTTAACTTTTAACTATAAATGTTCTACTGTCTATACAATAAAGTACACAACCAAGCAATGAAAAAAGCTTGTAATTAAGACTGTAACATTGCCTTACCTGTCCAGAAGAAAGCAGGACTTCAGCGTCTCTTCTGAAATCTTTCTCCTGCATTAGCTCTTTCCACCTGGAAAAAGCAAACTTGCAACGAAAACGCGTTGGCCAAGTACTTTTTGTCCCTCTATGCTATTATAGTTTTTCAAGATGGCGGAACTACATGGAAGCCTTTGTGGACCGACCCGTCCCATACAGATAATAAATTCTTCGTTTACAAGGATAAGTCAGATAATTGGCAGAGGTATTTGTACACCATTGAGGACATATTTATGAATAAAAATATTGATTTTAGATAATAAAACCCATTGTCTCGAACATGTTTTTTAGAACAGGCAAGAACACTGCCAAAACAACAAATTAGAGAATTCAAATCAGAAATGAGGATAAGTCTGTATGTAACCGAATAAGCCTCCAAAACTGATGTGTAAAGTTGTAGATAAGACTGTGGATCCCGTAGCTGAAGATGATCCTAAAAATTAAGCATTATAATTTGAATGGTTTCTCTCCATGTGCAATTTTATACCTCATAAAGATGCTGAATTTGACATGGGTATATATAATATAACACACATGACACGATACTTGATTTACTTACTCAGCTGTGTGAGATATTCTGTTGGAGAAAGACTCAGCATCATCCTCTCCAGTTCTTCATCCTCCTCCATTACTGTAAAATATAACAAATGCATCAGTAGGTATAGGCAGGCTTTAAGAATCAATATAAGCAAATTTGCATGATTTGTATCTACTCAGGCTGATCAGAGTCAGTAATGAAGGAATCGGTGGTCTTGCAGTGGAAGCTGATGGTGAGGGCAGCGGAGGAGGGTTTTTGGTCATCTGTTTTTGCTGCTGTTTTTAAAGATACTGCTGCAAATTGTACATTTTGCTGCCTGGCACACACTTCTGCCTCATTATAAAGAAAGCATATCCGTCTGCCCTGGTAGCCCAAATTTTCCTCCAAGTGTCTTGTGCTCTTGATCCAAATCCAACAGTATTGTCATCCTCTGTCAAAACTGGCACTGGATCTGGCCTTTGACACACAGATACTGTTTAAGATCTTCAATTTCCTTGAAACTTCTTGAATACTCAAGAAAGGAAACGAGGCTATCCTTGCATGGATGGGTTGAACTGCCCAGCCTGTTCTTCTTCCTCAACCTTATCGGACAGGTACAAACAGCTGGCATCATTCTCTAATAACCACTTGCCGAACTGAAGAATGCATTCTCCCAACGCCTTTTGCTGGTCAGAGACATCGGCTCCTCTAAAACACCCATATCGCCTAGGGCAACCAAAGGGTTAGAGCCGGCCCTGGGTCCGGCGTAAATGGCCTGATGATTTCCTGAAAGACACATTGACTTTCCCGGGGAAAAACACCGTTTTCTTCATGATGCTGTTCTGAAATCAGAATGTATTCATTAGCGTCTCAGAGTCAGCATGAAAATACTTAAAGTGAAATAAGACAGTTAATACTAAAGCATCAGTGATATTTATAAATAGTTATTTTAAAATGCTATAATATTCCATAATATTACTGTTTCTTAACTGAATAAATGCAGCCTTAGAGCATGTAGTGTTTATTAAATTTGCATTATTTAATAAATGTATATATGTATCTAAAAGTTAACAAGTTTAACTAATTAAAAAATGTGAAATTATACCATTAAATTGTACACACACACACACACACACATATATATATATATATTTGGAATTTAAATGTAATATATGTGTGTGTGATATTAATTACATTATAGGAGGACCAAACCTGCAGAAATTAAAAATGAATAAATAAATATGTAAATGAATAAAAATAAATAAATTTGATAATAGGAAAATAAATAAAGGAATAAACAACTTGATAAAATAAATATATATTTATTTTCTGCTTTTATTTATTTGTTAACTATTTTTTTTATTTGGTAATCAAGACCAACCAACCTAATTATAACATGCACATCAAAAAAAAAAAGTAAGAATAGATATAAAACTAAAGAAAGACAATTGAAATAAATAAAGGTAAAAATAAATAAATCTAGAAATAATAGACATTGGAATAAGGAATAAATAAATATAAAAATAAATGAAGGCATAAATAAATATAAGACTAAATGGAACAAACAAATAAATAAAATAATAAATAAATACAATTAAAAAGAATACAAATACATTCAAATAAAAGCAAAAAATAATAAATTAGGGGGAAAATTATACAAAAATACATTTGATTAAAATGAATCATATTTATTTTATCAAGTCGTTTATTCATTTATTTATTTTCCTATTATTACATTTATTTATCTATCTATTTATTCATTTATTTATTCATTTATTTTTAATTGCAAGTTTGGTCCTCCATACTACATTACATCTTTTAATTAAAATAAGAAATTAAATCATTATGTAACAATGAAATAATAAATGAATTTTATTTTATAAAATAGTTGACTAATTCAAAGAACAAACAAATTATTATAGGCCTAAAGGCGCACACATTCATTTCGACTGTATGATCAGCCTCACATTCTGTTCCTGTCAATCATACACGAGGTTTCAACCAATTACACGGCATGAGGGAGGGGCTTCAGATTGTATTTGTTTTCAATGTTGTTTCTATACATTAAAAAGTTGTAATTTAAATGCAAATGTTTAT